GTCCATTTCTGTACAATGCCAACTCAACACAGTAAATTTGGATGACTTTTTCCAAAGTTGGCAGCACCATTGAAGTTTCCCAAAATTCAATTTATATATGTGTGTGTGTATATTTATTTATTTATATTTAAAAAGACTAATAATAGCAGTATGTAATGCATCATCAATAGCAGCAACAGCTTTTCCAGGTTCTGCAGTCATCTGAACAAAATTATAGACATTCAGCACGTTCCATTAAAACAAAACAAAACAAAAGAAACAAAGAAAAGAATAATACCCAGAAAATAGCAAAGTTCTGTTGCTGTTGTGCTAACTGGCACCATTTCTTTTATTAGCATCTTAATCATCATCTGGAAAAAGAAAATTCTAGAGTAATATCATTAAATGTAGCTCTGATAAAGCATGGTCCCTACTATGTATCATAAAGCAGGTAGAAGATATTTTACATTCATAGAGGTATGATAAAGTACCGTCCTACATCAATAATACTAAAATCAGTTTTGGTTTGAAATTTATTATGTCTGTAAATAAGATTGCTGCCCCTGTTTTTTTCTGGGCTCCTGTCACATGGAGAATTGTTTTCTATATTTTCACTTTCAGTCTCTGGACTTCTTTTTGCACTAGGTGTGTTTCTTGTATATAACATATTGTTGGATTTTGCTTCTTATTCCATTTGCCAGTCTATTTCTCTTGATTGGTGAGTTGAGGCCATCGACACTGCTGGTTATAACTGATATGTACTGACTTATTATTGACATGTTATTGGCCTTTTGTTGACTCTTTTTACTTTTTCACCTTCTCCTTTTAATTTCTTGCCTTGCCTATTTGATTTGCTCTGTTGGGCCTCATGGTGTTGTTGCCTTCATTGTCTTTTTCTAGGATCTTGGTTAGAATTCCTTGTAGTGCTGGTTTGGTATTCATGTAGTTTCTCAGGTGTTCTTTGTCGTGGAAGTGTCTTATTTCCTTGTCCATTTTGAAAGAGAGTTTTGCAGGATACATCAGTCTAGGTTGGAGGTTGTTCTCTTTTAGTACTTGAAATATTTCATTCCAGGCTCTCCTTGCCCCAAGGGTTTGTGTTGAAAAGTCTGCT